TGGCCTTCCACGACGCAGCTGCCAGGTTCCTCCGAAGCAAACCAGCACCGGACCGTTAAACTTCCGAGCTTTTACAAAGGAGGTTTCAGCTGCATTTTGCAGACAGGGGACTGGAGGCAAAACCAAAACGATTTGCTGGGTATGGGTCAGCCGCAGAGGCAGGGAGAGAACCCCGCTGGCGCCCCCACCCCCCACAGGGCTTTCCACCACCGACAGGACAGGAAACTTCACAGGACGCACCAAGGCCAAAGGAATTACAGAGAAAGGCGCAGACTCGCTCGTGAGGAGCCGGCAAGACCACTTACGTGAGCAACTCGGATCCCTGTGCAAAAGGTGATTTTTCCTTTGGGTTGCACCGTGTGTAGCTTTGAGAGGATCCGGCCCGTGTCTGGAGTGAGCGTGGTCAGCACTTCACAGTTGCTGCAACACAGACACACGCACGCTGCCCACCCCTCCGACAATTCCTTTGCCAAACCCTTCTCTGCTGCGGGGTAGGACACGCGTTCCCTGCGCCACGCGGCAGCTGGGCTGCTCCCAGAGCCAGCGCCCTGGGCTCTGCTGGGGCGGTGCGGGCGGGGAGCAAGACTTACAGCCTGCTTTCCTAAAAAAACCCAAAGGCATCTGCCTGCACGCAGGCTTGTGTGTGTCTCTGTCCCCTGCCCCAGCACCCTTGAGCCCCGGCCAGTCTTCATGGACTCTGCCTCAGAGGGAGGCACCGAAATGCGGAGGAACGGCTCTCCCGGGCTGCCCGCGGGCGGCAGTGCCAGCGCAGCCCCTCCTTGCCACCCTTCGGGGCACAAGGCCACGAATCAACGGGTCTGGCAGAGAGCTCCTGAGAGAGAACAGCCTCCGTACCACGTCCTGGCGCTGCAGGAGCAGGCCCAACCAGCTGGAGACCAGTCAGGAACCAGGTTTTCTCATACCAGTCCTCCCAGAAGAACGGGTTTGGTTCAGACCGTGCTATTGCTGTCCCACTGTGCAACCTCCCCTGTTCCCTGTGCTCCTCACGGGTGCCCCCAGCCGCTCCTCAGTGTCACCCTGAGGCCAGTTCCCCCCCCCTTTCCACGTACTTGGCTAAGGTGATGAGCCCCACGTTGTTCTCGGGGTTACTGCGCGTTTTGGAGTGGCACACGATGTTGACAGCATCTTGCTGGGCTTGCAGGCGAGTGGGTAGGAAGTCTCCATTCCGCATGTACTCGCTGTTGTCAACGCTGGAACACGGAGAGGAAGGTGTCAGCTGGTGCAGCGGCTGAGGCTGATCCCCAAAGCGTGCTTTTCGGGACTGCACACCCAAGGTGACGCAGCTGGGGACAGGCAGCAGACACGGACGTTTCCCAGAGCAGAGACAAGTCGTCTCTGCGTTTCCCTGAGCTTTCCGATCAGATCCGACCTCTGGGTCACAGGACAAAGGCCGGAACCCCCCCAGCAGCCAAGCAGCCGGCTTGGAGCTGGTGTCTGCCACTCCTCGCTGAAGAGCATGACGGGCGCCGGTGGCCACAGACCTCAGTCCCACGTCTCCTTCATGGCGCCTTCTGACTCCACAACAAAAGAACCACCAAGAGGCACCGCTCCACGGCAAAGCGCAAAGCTCCGCGCTCATCGCCCCCACGGAGCTTTCCTCAGGACAAAAAGCAGCTTTCCCAGCGCAGGGACGGCGGTCGCTTTCCGACACGGCTCTGCTGCGCCCGGACGGTGCCCCGCAGCGTCTCACGCCAGCGGCCACATCGCCAAAATCAAACCCCTGCCCTCCACTCCATCGGCTACTAAATACAGCCCGGAGCAGGCGGAATCAGCCCTTCTCTTACGCCAGCCTCCAGGAAAGCGACCCCAGGAAGGAGGACGCATTAAATAAGAGCTTGAGAGTTTATTCTGGGCCCAAATTAAGACCTCCCTGAGGAGAACTCCCTGAATTTCTTAGTTTTGACAGCAGGGAAAAGGCTTCTTCTGAGAAAAGCCCCACTTCTGACCGTTTCCCTGACCGTGCCTGGGCTGTGCCGAGCCATCTCTCCCCCGGCCCACGCCAAGCACCCCGCCGGGAGCTGCGGAGTGGGGAGCTGCCGCTGCCTGAACTTCACCTCAGGCAAAAAGTCACGAAGCGACCGGGCCGAGGCCACCTGATCTGCAGCTTACTGTCCACGGGGTAACAGCGAATTCCTCCTGCTCTCCAGGACCACACAAGGAGCAGCGACATGTTTTAATACCCTTAAACGTGAGTAAGCAAAGAGTTACCCAGAGAAAACATCAAGGACTTCGATACGCGGTCTGCAAGTCGGCCTACAGTAACATCTTTATCCAAACAGCTGCAGGACCGCGCAGAGAGCCAAGGGAACGACAGAACCTGGACAGGTTTCACTGGTTTTCTCTATCACGGCCTTTTTCAACACCAAAATTCAAAACCAACAGGGCAGCAGCTGCTGTGTTAACAACAACACACCAACGTTCACCTCCCTGTCCAGCCCCGGCCGCGTTCGGCGTCCAGGGACAAATCCTCTTCCCTCGACAGCGATGCTGAGGAGCAGTAACGGAGACGAGAGCTGCTCCACGCGGACCCCAGCCTGGTGGTGCCGGGTGAGCCCGAGAGGCCGCAGGCACGCCCGCCCGGAGCCCCGCAGCCCGGCTCCGCACGGACGGGACCCCGGCTCGGTGCCGCA